GTTTTAACGTTTTTAATTTTAATTACTTTAGTTTAGTTTACTAATAATACTCTTCTCAACTAAATAGATTAGTAAGAAGTTAGTAATAAATAAAAAAAAGAAATGGGTGACATGATTCCCTACAGACTTGTATATTTTAAATATTGTAGTTATCATTTATGAAATAACAACAACATAATAATTATAAATCAGGAACACAGCTTTTTAAATGCAATTGTCATTGGAATTTTAAACAATATTCCCTTTGACTGCAAGGTCATATTTTATCAAGTAGTCACTGCTTTAGGAAAAGATGCTGGTTAAAAAAACACACGTTTTTTTCCTGATTCATAATGTTACATGCTACTTTTTTATATGTTCTATAATAAATTAGAGACTACATTAATCCAGGCCCCAAGTATTAATTCAACCCTGGACCTTTTGTATTAAGGGCACCTCATGACAGTCACATGAAACAGAAGTATTTCAACATTCCAATGTATCTTATTTGACTTTCTGTATAGAGGGTACCTCACAACTGTCACATGAAGCAGAGATATTTCAACAATCAACTGCCCATTTTCTTAGTGTTTGGCCACATAAAGAATATAACGAATTCAGTTTTGGAAGTTTCAGATCAAAATAATTTTAATTTCTGAGGAAATCAGTTCATTTTTCTGAGAAACCAAGCTTGCTGTGAAACTCCCAATCTTTGTTTAACTGTATGATCATAAATTCTGCAGTTTAAATCTTCTCATTTATTTGCATTTTCTTCCTTTATTTTGCAATAGACATTCTGCTTCAAGGATTACTTGTACTTGCAACTAAACAGTTTTTTATTTGACTTCAAGACAATGTCTTGCCACTTTCATTTTACCTGAAACAAATTACTACACTTGTCCTTCTATACATTAGATCCACAAACCTCTTGTTTTTGTGGGGATTGAGTAAAAGTAAGCTTTGTTTATCCTTGGATTACCACAGAAATTTGGACTAGCTGGTCATTATAATGTAAATATAATCAAAAAGCTTTTTTTACATAGTTTCAAACTTTATTATTCCCTGTATATTAAAGCATGTAACCTAAAAAACAATATTCAATATCGGATTTCAAGTTTCTAAATAAGGTAAAAAATATTTTCTCTAGAGATTGATTTTAAATTCATTTCTTGTAGAGCATTATCCTGGAGTAACAATAACCGTTTAAAATTAAAAACATAAAACATCACATACATACCTTTCAAGTCGTTTTTTGTCAATGATATAGAGAATTTTAGTAAATTTTCCAACAATTAGGTTTTTACTTTAACTATAATTCACAATTAATTTTATTGTTTGAATTTTTATTGTGTATTACTTATACTACCCACATCCTTCTACATGATGAGAACTGTACATTTATTGCAACTCAAATGGCAATTTTTAGTGGTATTGACAAAAACCTAAACTAATAAAAAAATGAGTACTGACCAATATATGCAAAAAAGATGATACAAAAAATTCAATTAATAATATATCTTTTTAAAATAACATTCAAAAATATAAAAAGAAGTAGTGAAAATAAGAAACTAAATTTTAATAAATTATGTTAAAAGGTAGTAAAGTTGATAAATTAAAGTACCTTATAGAACTTCACAGCAAGCTCAGCTCGCTGAGCACGAAGAAGAAGTGATTCTGCTCTCTGATGATCACCAGCTTCAAATGCAAAACGAGCTTGTCCAACCAGTACATCTCCCACTGAGTCCTTGTCATGATTTTCTGCAACTCTCTGAGCACTCTCCCAATCTTGATTATGTACATACCTAAATATTTAATTTAGTTTTAAATGATAGTGTGAGAAAAACATGTTATCTTGCATTTTATACAAAGGATATACTTTTTTATTATAAAAAATTAAACACAAAAATGAATAATTTCCATAAGTCATTAAAAACTAACTTTCAGGAGTTTTAGTGGTTTTCCTGATGTTTTTGTATGATATCTGTTTTTACATTTTCAAATACAGATACCAAATCAATGAAATTTTAAATCTAGAATTTAAGCTCAGATTATTTTTAAAAGTACAAAATCAAGACTTATATTTATTAGTCACCTAATGTTTGTATTTGACATGAAATATTTAAAAAGTACAGAGAATATTTCTTACATAAGTACAGCTTCTTTTGGCTTTCCAGCTTTTATGAATTCTACTTCAGCCTCTCTGAACTTGCCCTCATCTTCAAGAAACATAGCATACTTCAAATGAATTTCTGGTAGTTTGTGCTTCATGGATGTTCTTGCCAAGTCAAATGCAAACTCAAAAGCACTTTTGAAAGAAATGTTAAGAAGTGTATGATAACCATTCAGAAAAATCAAACAACCTTTATATCAAACGTGCACACTTTCTAATGAAAAACGATTCTCACAACTTCCAACCCAATGTTAAATTATTAACTGAGAAATCATCCTTGTAAAACAATTATCATCAATTCTTAACAGTCAGTTTTTATTAAGTTCTACCAGTAAATCAAAAATTATGAGTATATTAAAAACAACTTATGTACCTTTATTATGCATGACAAATATTAACCAGTAATTTTTCTGTATTAGGACATCACCTACTATTGCTTCATGCACATTTGAAGTTTCTAATTTTATTGTAAATAATACTATGATAACAGAAAACAAAATTAAATGCTAATGTTCAATCAAAATAGTATCTAGTGCAAAATAGGGAAGATAACATAAAACAAAACAAAAAAATTCACAACCAATTTTCTGCAGCATAGTCAATAGCACTATCAAGTAACCCAAACTTGGTTAACAGTTTCACTGCAGAGTCTCCACCTAAACTCTTTGCCCACAAGTAGGCTACTTGTTTAGCAGCAATTGCTCCACCATGAGCTTTGGCTACCTACAACAATTAAGAAAATTTTAATTTACTCTTCAGTAGTGCAATTAAACTTTTCATCATTGAAAATTAAAACAAAAATACTTGACTCATCAGTTCATTATTTTAACCACTAAGCTTAGCAGCACACCACTATAACAACTATATATAAGTATAAGAAATAGTATTTTCAGTTACTTGCTTTTGACTGATTAAAACTCATATTTTAGTACTACACTTTCTAAGTGATTAATAACAAAACCTCACTTTTTCAGGGCATTAGCTTGAAAATCCTTAACACATGGACACCTACCAAAAGAATTCCATTTAATTTCTACAAAACAGTCTTACTTTAACTTTTGTTGTTTAGAATTATATTATCATTTTAAACTTACAATTTACTTTGGATCATGATCTATTCAAACTGTATAGCTATACAAATAACACTTGACAGAAGGTATTGATACAGAATGTTGTCTTACTCAGTTGATATTAACTAGATTGCCCAAGTACTATCTTTAAGTTGGAATTCTATAGTCTTGACAAACTCTAACATTTTAAAAGTTCACTAAAGTTTTCATATAATAACAGTGAATAATTAATACCTTAAAATATTAACTAGTATGTTTTGTATTTATTTATATAAAATACTAAAACTACCCAATGTATTGGAAGGGTGTGTATTTTCATACCTATCTCAAAAAACAAAAGTCTGAATATCACACAGTGGTTACTAAGTCACAACACAGTTTATAAAATATGACACAAATGGACGTACGAAGTTTAAAATAAAATATCTAAAGCAGTAATTTTTTGGTTTTGAAAATGAAAAAAATGAAATTTCCACTATGTAGAAAAATAGAGCAATAAAAAACTATGCTATGAATACCTTTTTAACAGTGACTTGTACTATTAAAATGATGTAAATATATGAATTTTTTAAAGAAACTAGTATATTGTGTCATTATTTAAATTCTAACTCAGATATTAGCCTAGTGAAATCATGAATAAAGATCAAACTTGTAGGTGCTGGCATGGTTATGAGTTCACATCTTCTTACTGAATTTGCTCACACTTTCAGGCATGGGACGATATAATGTGATAGTCAATCCCACTTTATAATGGTAAAGAGTAGCCCAAGAGCTGGCAGTGGGTGGTGTTGACTAGCTGCCTTCCCTCTAATCTATCACATTTAATTTAGGGATGACTAGCACGGATATTCCTCAAGGATCCTTGTACATAATTCAACAAACAAAATCAACCATGTCAGCTTCTTCCCTAAGTAGACAGTTTTGTAAATATTAAGACATAATAGTCCAGTGATATTCAGATGAAACATCTACTCTCTAACTTTCTTCCCTATTTAAACAGTTTTAAAGATACTGAGATGGATATTAACCAAGTGACATTGAGAAGAAATGTATGCCCTGCAAGCTTCTTCCCACCTGTATGCTGTTTTGTACATATTAGCGCTATGAATAAGGGTGGGGATTGGGTCAAAGTGTGCATGTCATGTGACCTTTCTTTTTACAGAGTTACCTTACAAATCAAATTAAACTGCTTTATTAGTAATATAAACTTCATATTAAAACAGTTTATAATTCAAATTTTTATATTATCTACGTGTTAATTTCTCAATTTCAAGGGAAATATTTACAAATTATAGATATTAACAGGCCGTAAAATAAAGTATCTCCCACCTCCTTCATCTTATGAGATATTAATAAATTCATCATGACAACCACATTATCTACACCAAACTTTTCATTACTTATTTGCTCATGCCTAATTGTAAATGGTATGCTTGTAACCAATAGAAAGGCCATTTTGATAACTACGTGATGCTGATGATAAGTGATTTGTTTTGCCGGTAAAAACTGTTATTTTTCAAGTATGTCTGGATATGCATAGAGTGAAGATTTTTAACCTATTCATACCTTAGTTAAAAAGTCAGATAGATTATACTAGTTTTGAAGTATTCTATTTTAGTGCCTAACATATTTTGTTCTAAAATACATATTTGAAACTACATAAATTATTTTCGGACAAAAAATATAGCTAGAAAAACATCTTATAAAAGCAGACACCCAAGTGCAATTCAATCCAGTCCTGAGGTGAGTGCAAAATTCATTATATGCTATTTATATTTTTCATTTATTGTTACATATTTTTAACAAAGTAATTAAAATGTATAAATTAAAAACTTATTAGGTTAGACAAAAAATATGAATGAGAAAACATTTTTTGTAGTCACTACTTGAAGAACATGTGAAAAATTAAGAGGCCTAAAGGTCTTAAAACAAATAATTGTAACTGTCTGTTGCAATCTGCAGTAACTCTAGAAATAAAAAGGTGTTTTTTTATCTGAATTAAGATTTTTCAACTTTTGCTACAGATGATTTTACAACAGTTAGTGTTAGGGTAGAAAAAGAGATAAAGTATAAAGTTTTACCAAAAGCACATTAAGACAGATATTAGCTCAGTGAAGTTGAGAAGAAACACCCACCCTATAAGCTCTTCCCACATGTACACTGTTTAGTACAAATTAAAACAGATATTAACTCAGTGATACTGAGAAGAAACGTGTACTCTGTGAGCTTCTTTCCACATGTACACTGTTTTGTACACATTAAGACAGATATTAACTCAGTGATACTGAGAAGAAACGTGTACTCTGTGAGCTTCTTTCCACATGTACACTGTTTTGTACACATTAAGACAGGTATCAGCTCAGTGACACTGTGAAGAAACACTCACCCTGTAAGCTTCTTCCAACATGTACACTGTTTGTACACATTAAGACAGGTATCAGCTAGGTGACACTGCGAAGAAACACTCACTCTGTAAGCTTCTTCTCACACGTACACTGTTTTGTACACATTAAGACAAGTATTGTAAGGTCCTTCCAACATGTACACTGTTTGTACACATTAAGACAAGTATTGTAAGGTCCTTCCAACATGTACACTGTTTGTACACATTAAGACAGGTATCAGCTCAGTGACACTGTGAAGAAACACTCACCCTGTAAGCTTCTTCCCACATGTCAACAGTTCTATACATATTCACTGCAGCTTTCCAGTCACCAGAGGACAAGTAATGTTGCTCTGCTTGACGGAAACTTCCTTCTGCCTCCAATTCCTGTAAAAATTAAAAAATATCAACAACAAAGAATGATTTATAACTTTGTCAAGAGAAAATACGTTGGATAAAATATTAAGTTTTGATTTTATGTTTCTGAAGTTTACACATGTGAATAATCCAAGAGTATTTCTCAATTTAACTTCCTTCTTCACTCCTGGTATCAAACTCTGAAACTATACTGTATTGCATAATGTATGAACAGTGTTTTAATACATCTTTTTTTATTAACAACTTGTAATTATTTTTACTGAATTATCTAACTGATTTGAATAGAAATTACAGTCATTTTATGATTTGTGCTTATTATTTTTGAAATAGTTTCAACTGATAGAGATCCATGATGGAAAACAGTGTTCAACAATAAAACAATCACATCTTTCCCTTTATAACCAAACATACATACATATATATATATAATTGCAAAAAGAAAACACTTAGGTGCTAGAACCAGTCTATTCTGTTTAGTACATTTTATAACTTAATGCACAATTAGTAGATTGGTATATGCTCCAATAAATTGGTGCAGAAAGGGATGGTTGACAGTGCTTTCTTTAGCCAACAATTCTTTTGATACTCAAAGAAATGCAACTTCACAATAGAGTTGTAGATTTATGTATATTATTAATTCTCATACTTGAAATACAGGAAGCACTAATAATTTGAAAATTAAGCCATTACTAGCACACTACGTGTCTTCTTTTGAATTTTGATTATTTTTTTATTCAAGTCATGGTCAGAAAATTTATCCTTTAATTTTTCCTGAATGTATATATATTTGTTTCCAGACATTTTCACTTAACTTTTGACCCATACAACCAGGATTTTATTGTTGATCAAAACAGTTTGAAATAAAGATATATTTTATAGTGAAATCAAATAGTTTTGACCATTAATAAAACCCTGGTTGTACAACTTAAAATTTAAGAGAAAAGCTCCAGATACTTAACTGGTACAAGAAATAATAGTATTATGGCTATTTCAACGCAGGTCACATTACCTAAGCAAGGGATAAAATAGTTTGGTGGATTTGATTAGCAGAAACTGCTAATCAATATTGAATTCGGTTAGCAATTAGCAAATATTGCTTGGCATCTTTATAACATTCATCATTTTAAAACATTATGACAGCTAAATCCAGCATTAAAAGTCTTAATTCTTTGTTTAGACATCCACTAATGAAAAAGAGTTAAATGGTATGTTCTTGTTCTAATAACACCTTTATTCAGCTTCAAACCCTAATATTTAATTGTACCATACATGACATTTCATGAACAAAATAGTTCCTGGTATAAAAAAGCAAAACTTCAAAACTGCATGAAATATCAAACACCTCAGCTGTCACAAAATAATACAACAGTCGATTAACCACAGAAAGAAGTGACATGAATGTATTGCAACTGAACAAGGTTGCCACAAATCATTTTACATATTAACCTCATGGCTCTCTTCACAATGTGGTCTCCCTGGCTTTTTGAAGAAGAAAATGTCTGGTGACTTTTCAGCAGTAAGTACCCCTCTCGCCATTGGCATCTTTTACTGTGCATGTTATGAGGATTTTAGTGAGTTACGTTCAAAATTTAATTAAACTACTTTTTGTTTGTTCATGTTATACCAATCAGTATAGCATAAAATCATAGCTTATAATCCATATTTTAATAGTATATAAGTTTTAAGTTCTTAATTTTATAAAGCAATATTAAAAAAAGATCCTGAATTTTTCCCTAGTGTGAGAAATGTGATATTTTTTTCTCTAGACATTTATTTAAATTGCTTATTATAATATTGTCATCACTCAGAAAATGTATAATTTTCATAGCCTTCAATTTTGTTTGGTTACAGAGCCACCAAATAGAAAATCTGACCCCTCTTGCTACACTCACCTGTCACATCCTCTCTTTCAGAATTTGTCAATAGTTCTCTCTTACGTTTAATACTATGTTATTTCTAACCAATAGAAAGCCAAGGTTTTCATCTATCAAATGACATATTATTTTACATTGTTTTCTGTACAGAAAAATGTTAATTTATTTTTTTCAACACAAGCTTCGTTCCCGCAGGACACACAATGACTAGCTTTGATCAATTTGCAATCGCTCTTGTTGCAGAGTTAGAGAGCCAGAAAAGTTGTGATATTTATGGGATGTTGTCTGCTTTCTGCATGTTATTATTCTATGTCCTTTGGTGCATTATTTAATTTAATTAAAAATTATTTAGTGCACCACTACTATTAGTATAAAAAAGTAGGGATAAGTGTCATTGACAGTCAACAGCAAAAACAAAGAAGGCCCAGATAAGTACTTTATTTCTTGTTTTTCATGTGTATTCTTTATTTATTATTATAAAACTAACTAAAATGTAGGAAGTAAGAAACTCTTTAGGTTAGTTAAGGTTAGATTAGGTAAAATAAATAATAATAATATAACAAAAATATTTCATGAGGCACACATGCATGCAAGTAGCTTGGAATAGCTGATAGGTAAGATAAATCGATAGCGTACCGCGAGACGCACATTCCCAGTGATTTACAACTTATATTGGCGTAAATAGTACTAGTAGTTATACATGGTTCAAAGGGCAATAAAACAACAACATTTAAGTACAATTACATATATACTGTTATGAGTTTAAAGTTAATTAGGATAAACTAACATAGTTTTATGTTAGTTTGATGCCATTCTAGAAAGAAAAAAAGGATAATTTAGATTTATTTAATTTTTTTTCTTTTTGGTGGTTACAAGGTTAGTCAAGTTGACCTACTTGTAAAGAGTTGGCATAGAGAAAATATATAGTTTTACTGAAGAAAAATGTTTGAAATGTATATATATATAGGAGGTTTAGTGATGAATAAAAGTATTTTTAATCTTAACATGAAAATCATTTTGCACTTTTACTGGTCAGAAAAAGACTTGATATACTCAGGGACAAATCTTTAGTAAAAATACTTCATTGAAAAGCTGATTTTTTGTGTACAAATTACTTTTACTGTTTACTAAAAATGTCCCAAATTTTGTGAAGATACACATACTGTAATAAAAGTTATAGTATCAAAACTATATACAAGTACAAATGGTGAAGTGGTCGGTCCTTGGGACTAAGCTCATATTGAAAGAGTTCGTAACCAGCTAAATGGGCAGTGCATGTACTGTGCATATGTAGTCTAGTCTTGTTGGCTAGGCTGTGGCACATTCCAAACATCATGAACAGACTACTACAAAGTATTGTATGTGATATGTGCATGACAAAGTGTGAAAATACTGTATGTGCTGTTTGGCAGGAAATTCTAAGAAATCAACACCAGCTTTGAGTTTGATATATCAAACTGAAATATTAAGGTGCTTTCACTGTGTTGTTGGATTTCTCAAAGACAACATGCAAGAGAAAGGAATGAATCACATGTTATGCTAAGCAAAGAGGAAAGTGATTTGCAACTGGGGTTATTTTGATTCGCAAATTGCGATGCGAACCCGGATTATTTTGTCCCTTGCTAAGCATTAATTTTTCATCACAATATTCGTTAATAATTTATTAATTAATAAGAAAAAAAGAAAAACTGCTCAAGAACCACAATAAAGGTAGAGCTTCAGCTTTTCCATGGTGATCACAACGTCTATGTCTAGTTTTATGAAATGTTCATTCATGATAGTTATCTAACTGGTAACACAAAATAAATATACCTCTTGAAATATATTTGCAGCTTATCAAGCTCTTAAAATAACGAAAAGAAAAAATTCACAAGCAAATAAGTACACTTGTTTTTTCTTGAAGGTAATTTTTTAATGCCTTGAGGATATACTGTAGTGCATGTTACATTTTTGATTACTATCATACCTCATTTTCAACTAATGATATAAAAATACATAATCAAATTATTTCTAAGTAAATATTCTTTTTCTGTACTTCTACTGTCATAGTAGAAAATGAAATACATTCACTCATTAATAGGTACACTGCAACAATCAGAAAAAAACATGTATTGAAGAATTTATACCTATGATCAACTGGTTAAACTCACCTTTGCCAAATGAATATGAGTTTCAGCCAGCAAATCTGGATGGTGTTGCTTGACTAATCGTATCATCTGATCATACATTTTCAGTTTTTTATACATTGTTATAGCCAGATCTGGCTCATTCACCGATATATAAAGTCTGAAAGCAAAACACATAGTAAACAAACTGAAAATAACTTGGATTTTACAATAAACTAATCAAAATTTGTTAGTTTAACATATACTTTGGTATATTTTACAGTTTGGAGGAAATTTTTGATGGATTTCAAATCTGAGTTTTTTTAGTTTCTCGTATGGCAAAGATATTTTAAGAATGGTATAACAGAAAAAGCTATATTTTTAAATATCTTACAGTTTTGAAGCAAAGTCTTTAGATTTCAAATATGGATTGATGTATTTTTTATATGGCAAAGATATTTTTAGAATGGTATAACAGAAAAGCTTTGTTGTGATCAGTTACAAGGGCTGGCAAATAATAAAACTAATTGAGCAATGGACTAATTTAATTTGAGATTTTATGAAAAACAGACTTTAAAGAAATGCTAAATAAAGTTATGTGCCACTAATTACATATGCAAAAAGTACTAAATAAACCTAAGTATAAATAATTATATGTAAACAAAATAATAAATAATGTAATTATTTACATATAAACTACTCATATAATAAATAAAGGTAAGTGTGACTATAGTGATGTCTTGGCCATTGTCAGTCAGGAAAGTATAATGTAATTAAACCAAGCTCTTATGCACAATATACGTGAAATTTTATGGAGAAAAAAACAAAACAACAACAACAAACAAGTGGATATTAAGAAAAGAGAGGGAAAAGAACAATTTTGTATTTATCAAGAGAATATATATTATTATATTAGTATTCATTCACTAAAATTATCACTAAATCCCAGTGCTATTCAGTTAGGCTCAATCAACAGAAGTCAAAAACAGAATATCATTTGGTTAAAGTAACAATTTCCTTGGTCAAGTATTAATCAATATTTGATACTAAATTTAAACCTCAACTAAATTCACACAACCTATAAATGTAAAAACCAAACATAACTAATTCATTAAAATAAAGAGGACATTGCGTTATGTTATTTTCAAAACAAACTAAGCTCCTAACTTATCAAAAACCTATAGTCACACCCCTCACAAGCTCAGTGAAACAAAAGGAGAAAGATGCAAATATATTACATAGCATACACATATGAAATACATATGTATAAATTACTGTCCATTTAACACTGGTTCCAGGCTTTTTAAGAGAATTCAAATCCACGTCAACCTCAGTTTTCACATAGGTTATAAACTGTTACCAATTAAAGAATACGTTAGAGACATATGAAGTAATTACTTGATTTGATAATACATGTTATTAAGCCCTAGTTATATTTTTATAAAAAACAAACTGAAGATTAAGAGTCAAGTGACATCAAGCCAATAACACATCAGTGTCATTTCCTAACCACCTGTTCTTACAAACATACACACCAAAAGTCAAATTTCAAAGAAATAATTCTAAACTACTGTTACTGTTTAGCAGTGAAAACAACAGGATAAGAGGTCATAAATTCAAATTTTGTCAGCATAGGAGTCATCTGCATTTTAGGCAGTATTACTTTTCAAACAGGGTGGTTGGCTTTTGGAATAAGCTGACTTCAAGGGTGGTGGAGGCCGGAAACTTAACTGAGTTCAAGAAATGATTGGATGAATACAGTAAGGGATGGTTATAGTTGGGAGCTGGAAGGGACATCCTTGATGGGCTAATAAGCTCCTTTTTATCCCTTTAAAATTTTATGAAATTTATGAAATCTTTGTGATTAATCACTTATACTCTTATACCTCATAAACTTATACAAATTTTACAGCACACAATAGATAAACAATTATTTATTATGGACTTTTTTCATCAAGGATAAGGAAGCTGACAGAAGCTGAGAAACAAAAAGAACACTCTAGTTAGAGGAAAAGTTCACAAAAAATAAATTACTAATGTTTTTACAGCAATCTGCGAGGCTAGCTTTCCATTATAATAGTAATTTCTAATACTTTCACTTAACACATTACTTCAGTGGCCCATATTTAAACACATGTTGTTTTAGTCTAAGATGTTAATTTTAATAGTTATCAATTCACTATTTTATTTAAATGTAAAAACATAGATCCTAATGTTCTTATTATTTGTAAAATCTAAATTAAAAATCCCTGTTTGTAAAACTGACAACCCCTCAGATTCCTGCATTACCTTTATGTATACAAGCAAGCACTAAATAAAGATACGTGTAATTATTTATATGTACAATATATAAGTTTAAAAAATTACATATATTTTCACTAACAGTTTCAAGGCAGATTGATTAACATTAAGTTCCAGTAAATATATCATACTGTTAAATTTTCTTTACCTCTTGATAATCATGAGCTAGCACTGCACAAAATACTAAAACTAAAATTGGTAATTTCATCATAATATTCTTTCATTTAAAATGTTTATATTCTGGTACAACTGTTAAAACAGAAAATACCATCATTTTGCTTAAAATTAAAGAAATTAATTTCTGAATACATTTTTATTATACCATAAATCTACTTTTACGGGACTTTATTTCATTTTAGCAATTTCATACCATTCAGTTTCAAGTTGTATTTAACTAATATTCTTGTCAGTGACATTTATCCTTAAGAAGAACTTTTAATTTTATCTTCACTGTAATGATGTTTCGATAAATTTTTTTAAGTACTGTAATAAATTGCTTGAATATGCTTTACACTGTTGAACATTTCAAGCATCCTGTGACTTATTGGTTTTTATAGGTTTCAGTTAAAGAAATTGCTGAAAATTTTACAACCTGTGTTTCCACAAGTATTTTAAAAGTTCAAGTTGAACTCAAGAGTTCGTATCTGTTTGATGATAGATTTTCTACACTTCAGCACTTAAAAGTTTTTTATTACTTCATTTAATTTTTAACTTCTGATCATTGCAAGCTATCTTCATATATCATAGCTAAACATTAACCCAGTAATTAATATAGCTAATTCAAGATACCATTCTTACTTATAATGAATATAATAAATTGATTAATCGGTTGGGTACCCTTGCTGTAAGCAATATGTACAGCTATAACCCGAATAATATCTCATTAGGTTTGGTCACCATAGGAGATTTAGGTTAGTCCTATATCTATTTACTAAGCTAACAATAAAATTCTGACCAATACTATTTTTAAAAGTAACATTAAAGAAAGAAAGAACAGTTCATAACTTACTTACAAAACACATAAAACTACTGGCTTGCTTTATGCAATATCCTCAACACCCTATCTTTTGAAAAGCATGATATCAGTATACACAAAACTTTATATAACCTTCATTAACAATGGATACTAACCAATGGTAGTCCACTAAATGGCTCTGACAGTATAACTTCAGAATAACCTGGCAGCTGAGATAAATTATTATGACACATTACTGGGTTACAGTAATGCATATGAAGATAAACTATAAAAAATAATAATGAATAACACTTTAATCCTTTTGAGATGAGTCACAGGTAAAAGGCCATGTCATCTCGTTTGTTGACTCGCATTCAAACTTTTATTGAACTAGTATTTCATGAGTTTATGTCAATAACTTTGGTATCAAACTGTAATTATAATTCAAATTTTAGTACTATATATTACTTAGGTTTTTAATTTATAAGCAAATATTAAAAAACACAGATAAACATCGATTTTTGTGTGTCATGTGGTATGTTGAATGTAGCACTGGTTTAAATTAGATGTGTGTCAAAATACTAAGTCTATAGTTTTGTACGAATTAGAAACTCAAATTACCGATAATGACAAGCTAGAATATAAAATAAGAGTATCTTATCTTTTCTATTTGCTAAGATATTGCTCATGTAATAAATCAAATACAACGGCACCCCACCCACCACTTTCCATTCTTGGAAACACTCCCTTATATACTCTTACTTCTATATATGACATGAATAACCAATTGGAAGCTCAGAATGTCCCCTAGTGGCTTTCTAAGCCATTTTAATGGATATGGTGCCATTTCTTTCTTTCGAACAAATATTTCAAAGAGATAGGGTGTGTCTTTAATCTGCTTGAAATTTCATATTTTTTAGACTAAAATACATCTTAGTTACTAAGCTTGATAAATTATAGTGGAATTCTATAGTATTAATGTAATAATTTATGATTTTTTTAGTTATTCAAAAGTATATATATAAAACCTAGAAAAAAAAATATTTTGTTGCATATCCTCCAAGTGCAAATTTTTTAAAGGCTTAGCAACCTATACCAAGCAGCAACTGAGTACAAAGGTCGTAACTAGAAGACATAATTGTTTGCTTTACTTCTTTAGTTACTGTTCTATGTTTTAAGAAAAGTAAGTTTAAGAACTTATTTCAAAATAGCAATAATCTTCATACATATACAATGTATAATAATTGAAATGAGACTGTATTTTACAAAATACTAGGCTACTACAATACAGCCAAGACAAGTTACTTTGTACAGACCAAAGGTCAGTTTTATGTTATTTGATACTGTAACATGAGTGTATGGGAGCCTCACCACTGTAACTTCTGTAATGTTAGCCAGGCACAGCAGAAAAGTCAATATAATAATATATATATAAATGTATAATGTTATGAGATTTAAGCTATTTAGTCTAAACATTTGTTTTCATATTATAATTTGTGTTCATTCTAGAATGAAAGAGGCATAATTTATATTTATTTCCTAATTTTATGGTGGTTGCAAGATTCATCAAATCTACCAAACCCGTACAGAGATTGACTTACGGAAAATAACAGATAAAAGATAGTTTTCTCTTAAGAAACGTTTGATAATTATCTGGGCATTATAAAGACTTCACAAGTGAAATTTCAAAATTTCCTGATGCATAAAAGTATTTTTAATCTTAAAATTAATATTACTTTGCATGATAGATAGGAAACATGCAAAAAAAGAAAAAAAAGACGAGAAAAACATTGCTTTACAAAGCTTAAGACTTAATAAAAAAATTTATATTTTGCATATGAAAGCATTGTAATGTTTACTGATAATCTACCAAATTTCGTTAACATTCACTCACTAATTTAAAGGTTATAGCATGAAAACTATAACAAGCACAAAATGGTTA